CCCTCTCGATTCTTCCCGGATTGGAGGAGTCTTTCAATTTAAAGCAGGAATTTTAAAGCCAGCCAGTTTCATTGGTAAGTGCTTCCATACAATCCTAAAAGTCCTGCTACCTGCGAACCATTGCCAGTTACCGGTGGCCCATACGAGGTTTCCAGGCGAGCTTCTCTTTTAGCTAGTTCCCTGCCAGAAAGCTGTTCTCTTACGCAAGCCAGGAAAGCCAGTCTTCGTCTTTCTTAAAGCCCATGGAAGATAGACTTTTCTTAAAAAATATATAGATAGATGAAAAAGAAATGAATTGAATTCTGAGTATGCTTCTTCTTCTGTTAGGAATTCCTCTACTGCTTGTTCATGTGAACCTACCGATTCTAATGGTTTGTGCCTACCCGGCGGGGGAATAGCTAGGAGAATTGTTGATATCAAACCCGCGTCGGTCAAATGAGAAGGAAACAACAAAGTCGGCTGGCGATGTTACTGTTGTTGAAGGTTCACAGGAAGGAAGTTTCATTTAAGTCTCTTCTTCCTAGGCAAGGTGCGGAGGACTATGTATTTGTTGGCTAGTTCGGGTGGAAGGTTATTAATTCTTTATCTTACCGGGAGTGCGAGGGACTATTTATCTTTCTTTAGGGCAAGGTACGGTTCTTTTTCAAAATCTTAGCTAGAAACGTTGATAATTCCATTAAATGCGGAATCGCTAGGCCTTTCCAACCTGCTTCCGAAGAGCTAGGCACACCACGAAGAGGGCTAGGCAATGAAACCAAACGAAGGCGATCGCCAACCTCGACTCAATCAAACAACCCGGCCGGGTAGGCGGGTCAACTTGAATCCACAGGTCTAGCTGCTTCAAAGGTGGGTGAACTTGAATACCTAGTTTCCTAAATGGAATAAGCTGAATTGGAATAATTTTCGAATATTTAAGACCCTGATATTGAGGTATTTGGCTCGACGGCAGTTGAAGTTGAATCAACAGTTGAATAGACAGGTTCAGAATACCTAGGTTCAACAATTTATTAAGCAAAAGGGGCTCTTGAATCTTCAAATGGAGAATTCCTAATTGAATCCGTGGAACGTGGCTTGACGCCACGTATACTTCACAGAGATTCAGGCAGGCAGGAACCGTATAAAGCGTATCCATAGAAAAAGCCCTCCTAGGGAAACTATTGGCTTGGATGGATCGGTAACCGATGCTAGAAAGGCCCTAGCCGGTGTTCGAGAATCTATAAAAGAAGCTGTTACAGACCCGGTTGTGAAAGAAGGAAAGTCGACTTACTTGGCTATTTTAAGGACAACTTCCCTTGTTAGGACGAGCAGGGGACTAGAATAAAGATGCCCACAATTCGATGCTAGAAGAACTGAACTATACGTATATCAAGATCATAAGTATGAAAGGAGTCCCGTCCCCTAATGCCCATCTTAGCGAAAGATTACTCAATAGGAACTGCACTTAGACTTGCCTCTATGGCTGCCCTGCATGGCTTGTCTTTCTAGTGGACTGAGAGAGCGAGCTCTAATAGAAGCAACTCACATACAGAATTCTGACTCTCACTTGACAAAGAGTCAGAATTCTCCTAAAGTTTGTGATAGCGGTTAGTGGAACGTGCAAGATAGGGCCAGCTAGGCGAGCCGGGTCAAGAAAGAAGAAAAGTCGTAGGCAGAGATGACTAAGTGAATAAAGCCCTACCCCTTATTCATTCAAAAAGGGAGTAGCGGAGAGAGACGTTCCCGAAAGGCACCTATCCGTGGGAGACAGAAGATGAATGGGGAGCCGACTAGAAGACAGATAAAGGAGCAGGCTGGAGCGGGGCTTTAGGAAGAAGGGAAGGGGGCCGGAGATGGACTTGGATGATGGAAAAAGCGGTCTTCCTCGCTTGCTCCAATGCTTGGCTTGGTAAATCAGTAAATGGAAAATTTCTAGCGATCTCAGAAGCACAAGGAAGCAGAGGAAAGAGCAGTGCTTTATTAATAGTCGTGGGGGTCTAAGGATCCCATTTTTTAAGTCAATAAGGGCGCGATTTAAGTTGTTGGGAAAAAGGCGGATTGAGGCGAAGACAAAACCTTTCGGAAAAGCGAGGAAGTTCAATTAAACAGGTTTCGAGAGGGATTGAGGGACCTTGAAAGCTTTCTCTATGCCCTCTGCAGATTCATTGATTGAATCAGGTAGGACTGGTTTATAATCTTTATCTGGTCTCTCTCTCCCTTCGCCTTCGGTCACCTCACCAGCAAACCTGTATCCGTAGTCCTTGGCATTGGCAAGCTACCAAGATAAGAACTCTTAAAGAAGGTGTCACTTCCGGGCACCGTGGATAGGCGAGTACCGCTTCGCGCCCTACCCTAGTTTGCTAGCTCTCGGCTCGGCCGATTAATTAGGATGAAGCTGTGAACGAGTCTGAAAAGCTTTCCCGGTGATAGAATAAGCTGTTTTATTTTCAAAGAAATGTAATAATGAATATGTTCAGTTCTGTCTTTCTGAATCTTCATTCCAGTCAGTAGATCGAGAAGCATAAGGATTCACGCGCTAGCGCTCAAGCCATATAGCCGCAGCCTCTTGCTGGGATCGGATTGATTGCTCAGGCAAAGCTCTAATCTAGGGCTCGGGTCTGGTTACTTTACTGAATGAATCCCTCCCCCTTTTTCAATTCATCCGCAACTGTGGAGAATGAAATTCAATCTTACCTCCTCTCTGATTTACTCTTATTCCCGAACAGAGTGTTTATGCCAGCAATCCTCTGAGTTCCTTTATTTTAGTTGCTTTTACTTTTAGCTGTAGTGCTTGAAGCTGTGAGCCAGTCTGATAGCCTTTTACCTTGGAAGAGAATATATTCCTTTTATAAAACTAGCGTAGAAGTTGTATATCACAGTTAGCGGTATTCCCGGCCAAGCCAGTTTGATAAGACAAGACATCGACGGTAAGACCAGCAAGTCTAGCAGCAAATCCTTATCACTTTATCGATATGAAGAATAGCCGCTTAGTTTAGGTTTCCTAGTCAAGTTGATTCCCGGGTGGATAAAAAAAGTCGTTTTTGTCGACCCGACTCGTTTGGCTTCCGTCTTCTTGCTTCCGAACGCGCCAAACCGGCAAATAGTCAACCTACAAGCAAGAAAGGGGAAGGGAAGGTCTTGTCTGAAAAGGTAAAATCGACTGACCTGGTCAGCCATAGCTTCTTTGATCATGCCGGAATGGGGAAGAAAAGAATGCCGATCGTTAGCGAGAAGAAAAAGCGGGGAGCCTCCGCTCTCTCCACAATATCCTAAAAGACCTCTCTCGTCAGGGGGCTATCAGCCCTATATATATCAACAAATGATAGAGGATTGGAAGAAACTATCCCCTCCCTATGTTGGAAGATAGGAATATTATATAATAAGGGGAAGGCTAAGTAAGCCTTGTCATAGAAAGAGCGAGAGAGAAAGGCTTTCTAACCCATCCAATCCATTATTTCCCCTTTCCATCGATTCTTTCTTTGTTTCCAGTTATGAATGCGGCTTGCTACGACTATTTTTCTTCAAGCTTTGATGCGAGAAAAGGAGCAGCGTATTCGCCGACAGAGAAAGAGAAGACCAGATCTTGGACTTGCAAGCTCTCTCGAGGGAATCACTTTTAGCTAACTTTCGAGAAAGTTTAGATCCAATCCAGAGAGTTCGAGTTCGATCTCTGTAGTCAAGTCTAAGACAGTTGATTCGGTATCTAAGAAAACTCTTCTAGAAAGCGCTGGGCATGCTTCCCTAAAAAAGAAGTGAATCTGGAAGTGACTCCGCTAAGGCTAAGACTTCTTCCTTTCTTTTCTAGGCTTTCTAGCCCTAGAAATCAGTCCACTAGAAACGGATGCAATAATTCTAATAGAAGGGAGTCTTCTTTTTCTGTCATCGGTTACTGAACCTAATACATTGATTTGACTTTCAGGAAACCCCGCTGTAGTTGGATTGGGTGAGTCTTCTGCCCCGGAAAGATTTCATTCCTAAGGAATGCTTGCGGACTAGCTAGGGCTTACTCATCTAAAAGATCTACTTATGCTATTGCAGTAGCAAAACCATCGACCTGTGATGACAAAAGCGAGGTACCTCGTTTCCTAAGGCTAAGGAAAACACCTAGTTTGGCCCTTTTAGAATAGAGACCCCACCACACAGGGCAGACACTTATTGGTACTGGATCCATACGGGTGCTTGCTACTACTTACTTAACTAAAAGACCTCACGCAAGGTCTCCGTAGGGAGAAGTGGGGAGTCGTCCCGTTGGGGAGAAGAATGGGGACGCAGGCGCGAGTTGGAGAGTTCTATCAATAGTTGATAACTATTTAATTATTCCTTTTCTAAGGAATCTCTCGAATTACCGCTACCCCGCTGAGATAGACCAATCAGAAGAGGTCTCAACGAGCCTCTCCGTAAAGTCTTTCTATAAAGGCCTCTCTCCCTTGCAGGGGAAAGAGAGGGTTTCGAAGGAAAGTAGAGTGTCGTTACTCTGGGAGAAGTACGCTTATCTAGAAAGATAAGGGCTAGGGTGGAGTGCAACGAAGTCTAGTTTCCAGACTATGAGTGTTACCGATGGGCTGAGTCGATATACGAAGGTTAGTAGTGCTATCAGCTAAGGAATTGAATATAAGGATTCACCAATGTGAGAAGTAATCAAAACTGACTATTTTAAGTATATTGGTTTAAAAAGGGATAAAGATCAGGTATGAAGATGTTATCGAAAACTTCTAATAAAATCTTTTTTATACTGGAAAAGAAAAAAGACAGTCTTGCAAAGGAGTGGAATCTCAGACTTACTGCAAGTTTTTAGAGTCTAAGTACGGGACTCTCCTGTGATCCTTCAGGTAACACACTTGGTTAAATATTTAACTTGTAAACAGGCAATTCCAAAAAGCAATTTCATAAGAGAAGAAATCAATCTCGTAGCGTAGAAAAGAAAGAACGTTTTGATTCGTCGCCCTAGAAACTGTAGTAGGCTTAATGCAGTGAATCGTTAGGTTATTATATATTAACATTTGAATTACTATTACATTCCACCTTCCCGAAGTATTATGGAGCGACAGCCCATTGTAACACTTACTAAACTTATTAAAGATTTGGCTAACATTATTGTAGCTCCCCCACTCTATACTCCGGCTCAGCAGCAGGAGCAGGCCATTCTTTCGGCAAAAAATGCCATTGATGCGATGACGCAAAGTCTATTAAATAAACACAATTTCCCCCTATCCCCTAATTGGAATATACACGAATTGACAGCACACATAATAGAAGAAGACAATCTTAATAACTTAGCTTTCTTAATGGATACCGTGCAAGACCTTGCTACTTATGGCGCGACAAGTGAATTCTTCATAAGTACTATCCGCCTTTTAGAACAAGGTGGGGCTTGGGGTTAGGTAATTTTTTTGGGCTTTGAAGCAACCTTTCTTTTTTCGGTATGCCGCTCCGCGAGCAAGGAGTGCCACGCACGAGCGGAGCGAAAACAAAGCAGGGGGAATTCTTCGTTGGGTGAAATCCTTTGATTGCATATTGAATATAGATCCATGTCTTTCTTGTTCCACTAGCTAGGACCCAATTATCACATGTCCGTTTCGTTATTACAACCTTTTTTTT